ACTGCAATGGGATGAATTTTAAGCTCATGACATCTCTGTTGGAATCATCACAGTTCTGTGACCAGAGGAAGAGCACAGAGTTAGTTACAGGAATCATTTATGTWTCTATGTGTTTAAAGCCAGGTAACCCTTGCTTTCCTTGTATTCCCTACAGAAACAATTTCATTACTTCATTGCTCAATTACAATCAAAGCTGGTAAAGAGTGGATAATCTTTGGGGAAAGTTAGAAGRATGAGTTTTCCAGTGGTACATAAGCTTTGCTTCTAATATGGCTGAGCTCAGAGTTAGATTTATCTGCAGTAGTGCCCAATTTTTAACTTTTCTGTTTATAGTTCTTAAACAGGTTCATAATTTTCTGTAGTCCTCCAGTGATATATAGACTTGAAAAAATTGGGGGAGGGGGGGAACTTGRTCATGATAAGTAAAATGTGTGCATCCAATTCTTTAAAATTCTCCTTCTCTAGTTCTCAAACCACTTGAGGAAAATGTGTTAACTTGATTCATATTTTATGTGCTGATTTTTCCTTATTAATTCTGTTATTAAACCCTGTGGTTTAGATRTTGTTTAGGAGCTTCTAAATGTCTCCAGTATCGGAGCTCCACTGCCTGTCCCAGATGTGCATGGAAATACAGCMACAGTAATGAAGAATTAAAAATCCTGAAATGGCAATTATGATAAGAGGGGCACAGAACTCCCCGATTTTTAGTGACTTCAGCAAGGCCTACTATTGATAACTTAGAGAGAGAAACTCCCTTTCAAAGGCCCTAACAAAATAAAGCCCACAGTTGCCCTTTTTTGTTTTTGTTTTTTTTTTTTTGTTTGTTTCTTTCTTTGATCAGTGAACAACAAATTGGCGTTTTATGTAGTATTTCAGCATTTTTAACCACTCTGCTGAAAATGATTGAAGAGATTGAGGCATGGCATAAGTAAAGAAGAACACACCATGTATTGGTGGATAGTTTGTGGTAATATTTACAGAAATGAACATGTCTACACTGTTGTTTTTTTTTCTCAGTTATTTCCCTGTAAGTTGATAGTCCAGCTGTTTAAGAATCAGTTTCAGTGCGATAATAAAATGCTAGCTAACACATTTTTTCCCATTATGTCCCACATTCTTGTCCCAGATACAGTGGAAAATAGAGAAACATACCTTKTTCTAATTAATGATGCATCAAAATCGTTCATCAGACGTGTTCTTAGACAAGAATTTGTGCATATTGGTTTGGATACATTGTTCCATCATTCCGTAAAACACACAGAAAATCTCATTTACTATTAATTTATTCAAAACTTTACCATTGGCACGAGCTAATTTTTAGTCAGGTGTTTACCTAGAATGATGATTTGCAGTGTAAATTATCACAGGCATTTAAATGCCACTGATTCCAAGGAGGAGCGAGCACGCTGGCAGAGCAGTGAGTAAATGAAGCAGTGTGTGTGTGGCTGGGGCAGCTCACACTGATTTGCAGTGTGACAAAATAGTTTAAATCCTTCTCGCTATTTTCAGCCTGGAAATCAGAATCTATTCTGCTAACCTTCTGAGCTTCTAAATTTGGTGTCATGCAAGGGCGTGTTTAAAAATTAGCATTTAAAAAGAAACCCACTTGCTTGAAGTTTAAGCTGACACTGTTCCTTTCCTCTGTGGAAATGAAATTTATTAATCATAATAAAACCATCATATTCTGAAGGTAGAGGTCACCCTGAGGAGAAAAAAAAAAAAAAAGTCTCTTCATCACAGAGGAATTTCAATGCATTTTTTTCCCAGATAATATCTGAGCATGTGTTCTTTCCCCTTTGGAAATATTTTCTTCCATGTTTTTGCTTACATATGTCAAGTGTATTTAGGAGGGTGCAAAAATGAAAATTGTGCAGTTTAATTTTGTACAGTTTATTTTCTTTTACAGAAGATTTGGAAGAATGCTTTTCACATTTTATTTTGTGTTTACATTGCACTCGTTTGTTTAAGTGGAATTTCAATATCCTGTACAAGAAAAACAAGTGTTTCTTATTTTAACAAGAATATAAGCATCGCTAATTCTGAAATAACATTTCAATGTTAATATCACACTAAAAGCTTTAAGTATTATCATAATATAAATGTAGAACATTCTTTTTAAGGAGCAAGGATTAACTTTGGTCACAGTTCTCACATTAGGATTTCTTCACGACTCTTTTGTTTTAAGAAAGAGATACAGTTTACATAGGAGGATGAAAAAAAGAAAAAAGCAATGCAAAACACTGACTATAAGTGATTACTGCTTTGGCAAAAGAGTGATAAAAATGTACTCAGAAGTCAATACCAGGTTGAAACAGTCATATTTTCATCTTTTAAATTGCTTAATGTGTGTCTTTATCCATATTTTCTCCTTAGCTGTCAAGATTTCTGTTGAATATTGATATAATAACAATATTAGCAGCATGTTTTATTACATAAGTGTTGTAAACTTGCCAGTTACTTTAGCAGTTGGCTTAAATATAATAATAATAATTTAATGCAGGCTGAGCCCTGTGTACTCAGGCTTGGTCCTTCCTGACAAGTGGCCCTTGCATTTAGGCCACCTAATCCCATCCTGGGTGAYCTGTTGGACTTTGCTTKGTGAGGCACTGGGATYCTGCAGGAATGGGATGTAGGAYGGAGGCAAAACACAGCCCTAGACCAAAATTARTGTAATTTTTGCACATACAGATTTACAGCCCTTGCTCAGCATTGCAGCAATACCAAATAATCCGGAAGAAAAAAAAATATAAAGAAGGAAATATGCCAATTCTCATTGTTTCAAAATTATAGTCACAGCATTCATTAATGTATGTAAAATAATAGTACATGCAATTCCTCCTGCACGTTGCTGAGGACATGAGGGAAACATGTATACCTTTAATTAATCATTTTCCCATCCTAAATATTTTCTTACTGTTAGAATGAAATTTGGCTGGGAAGAATTAAAATGATAATGACATTGAAAATGGATTCTCAGACTTTAAAAATGGGCATACAGAAGTCRTGTCTTGTTCCCTTTAGTGCAGATGAACACAAGGGGTTTTGTTATGGCCACTATGGAAGCTGAGAATTTCAAATCTCTGAATTATGTTTGCTCCCAATGGGGAGCGTGGCCAAGGCTGGGGTTGGTGGAAGTTCTTCCTGCAGAGTGTGGGATCAGTGTCAAACCTGCTCAGAGAGCTCTCAAACGCTCTTTCCAACCCAAAGAGTCACCAAATCATTTACCCAACAAAGACTGATGTGAACTACTTCAATTTCTTTTCCAGYGGGAATTGCCCATTCTCTTTGTTGTTAACTACCTTGGGTAATTTCTAAAGATAGGTGTTTTGGGATACCAACTATTTAAGTGGAATTGATAAATAAATTTAATCCCACACTCATCAATGGTTTGGATATAGGAGCTAATATGTTTTATACAAGCTTTCTGGCACATATTTTCCTGAGTTTCAGACCAGCTCTGAAGGAAATCAATTGCTTCACACACTACCCCTGGAATTTCATGTATAGCTTGCATAGCAATGAACACTTCTCTACCCAGATCTAAAGCAGGCACAGCTGTGGGGTGAGATACAGAGCCCACACTCATGAACTCGGGCTACTTTCATCAATTAATTCATTTTAATGTATTACCCCTTAATAAGAATTTGGATTTACTGAGGAAACAGGACTGTACAACTGCAGGCATTCAGCTACGATGGCTGTTCTTTGAGGTGAAACAGCCAGACTTTGCAATCCTTTTTTTCCCCATCAAGATGGGTGATTCAGGTGATTTTCCTTGGAAAAGGAAAAGCACCTGACTTCTACAAGTTTATGGCCCTGTGTTTGTGCAGAGTCAGAGACAGGGATGTCCAGGCTGTATTTTCTGTGCTGAACCCTTCAGTGAGCACAGTTGTCACAGGAGGTGATTTGCTGGGATTTCCATACGAAAGGAATCCTTCAAAATCAGCAGATGTTGGCTCAGTTAGATGAGAATTAAGGATTTGTTATCTATGGCAATTYCTGCTCCCTCCTTGAGGGTGTCTCTGGGTAGGTGGGAATGTCTGGTTGGGATAATCTGGACCTTTCTCTGCCTCCCAGCCAGGACCCACRGTGGTGGGTGGTGCAGGAGTGCATAAACCATGGAAACATTCCCTTCTCAGCTTTCCCTCAGCTGATTAGCTCAGAGTCTGCTAATCAGATTCTGCTTGTGGAGGAGCAAATACATGAGAATAAATTAGGTCAGTTGTCCTCTTTTCAAAAAATGTAAGTTTGTACATGTATCTGAGAAACAAGGCAGTTGCACAGAATAAGACCAGTCTGTGGTTACTGTTCACATAAGGCTAATTTTTTTTTTTTTTGAAAGAGATATCAAGGGCATTGTTAAACCTTGTTTGCTACATTAGCCCTGGTATTCACAACAGAACTGTAATTACCAGATTGCTGATTGTTGGTCTGTGTGACACCTGAGAGCAGATGAAAATTGTTTGATTATGGAAAAAATGCGAGACCTTTGCAGTGGCAGCTGTCCCTTTTGGGCACATCCATCCCTCTGATGGTGGCACAGGGTGAGGACCAGGGGCACACAGAGTCAAGGAGCTCTGGAGTGTTTCAGCTCCAAGGATTTTGTGCGGGAAGAGATGACAAAAATCTGATCTTCACATCAGGTTGTACCAGAAATTTGGGCTGAAAATTGGGACTTCAGCAGTGTTTCAGGGAGGCCCTGTCTGTGGTACAGGAATGTGCAGTGAATTCCTCAGCACCAGGTGCCATTGCTGCACAGCCT